ACATTTGCACCAGCTAAGTAGGAAGGCTGAAGAAGAAAGCAGAAACAGGCTAAAGACAAAAGTAAGTGGAGATCTAAAGGCCTGAATACAGTTTTAGTTCTTGCAAAGAGCCACATGAAAGAGCGATGCCTTTCATTTCAGTTTAAAGTACAAATATATTACCTTATATAACAAGGTCATTTTTTTTTTCAAAAGTTATTTGACCATATCTGTAATTTTGATGGCAGTAAATTTCCACATCCAGATGTGCTGAGGAGATGTTTCTTCCTTGAGTGGTTTAATTATCCTCCAGGCAAGTGTTCACGGTAACCTTGCATGGCTGAGCTGAGTCCAGCCAGTGGCACAGTATGGTTGACACAGCACTGCTGCAGGGAAGCAGTGTCACCAGCAGTGACAGTCACTACGGGTCCAGAAGGGAGGAATCTGGGAGAAACAAGGACAAGGAGACAGAAATAAATGCACAGGGAACTAGAAAATGCACAGCAGTAGTATAAGTCAGAAGAACTGTGTATCTTCTGAAAAATAAAAGTTTGTAACTGGAAAATACCTGCAGGAGTGGAAAATCTGGAAGAATGGCATAATGGAAAGGGAGCAAGTTACTCTGGGGGATTGTCAAGGTGCCTACATATACAGCAGACATTTTAGCATCATTGAACTGGAGAAGAGCAGGGATCAGGGCAGAGTAAGGGGTGAGGTGTGTCCTTCCATCCCGTGAGAGAGATTCCCTACAGAAATGAGGCACATACTGTCTCTCCTTCAAGCCTGCACCATGACAGGGCCAGAGCCATCCTCATCTCTCCTCATCACTCCAAACACCAGCATCAGCAGTTTACCATGGGGGTGCTGTCAATCAACCTGAGCCAAAGAATCCCCTGTGACACATCAGGATGAATCACACCACACTAATCAATTCCCAGAAACCAACAAATCCTGGAATAGTAAATCAGGAAACAAGTAAAGTCTCACAACTGATTCTGACATTTTCTGTGACTCCGGAAGTTTAGCAGCACAATTTCACTATTGCTTTTGCATTTTTTGGCAGTTAATTTTCTTAATTTTGCTTTTAAAAATCTACAGAATTTAACATTTAAAAGGGATGCCCACTGAGAAAATTATCATAAGTGTCAAAAGATTAAGCAACCAACCTACACTTTCACAAAAAAGATAGTAACATGCCTGTGATTAATAATCCAGGTACCTGCTCCTTTTCCAACAGCTTCATTTCTGGCCAACACTGTCTCCACCTGACAAAACACCTCTATCACGAAGGACAACTTGGTATGAAATCTTGAGGGGTACCCTAGCTTTCTGTGGACCCTGAAAGCCACAGTGAGAGAGGCACCTGCATGTCCTCTTTCTCCCATGGACTAAGATTCCTCTGCACTATCTGGTTCCAAAACCAACATAAAAATTAAGACAGTTTGCAATGAGTATCTGCCAGCACAGTGCTACCATCAACAGCAACATCAGAAAAACCTACATAGAATAGCTTTCCTTCCCAGACTTCCTTGAATTACCGGTCTGCTCTTCATAGATGTTGTCACCTCTTCTGGGAAGAGACACAACAAAAGGAATGTACTGGATGCAATTTCTGTCTCTTGTCCCAGTAGCATGACTTACATATTATTAAAACCACCTCAGGTAAGGATTTTCTAGGAGTATTTCTGATCTAACTGCAGGCATCAAGACATTTTAAAGGATTCCTACTTGCCTGCTAATTATTGCTACAATCTTCCACATGAGCGGTACCAGAACCCACCAGGAACAGCAGTTTTTACACTTAACAGTAACAATCACTGCAGTTCAGCAGCTGTAATTATGCACAGTTGGTTGAAAGAGCTTTATAACTAAACAGATAGAATACCTGAAGGAATTAATTCAGAGTTATTGCTCATTATTAACAGTCATCTACAAAATGAATAATGATTTAACTATCATTTGTCACAGCCACTAAGAGCAATCCCCAGGACAAAATGACAAAATCTTACTTCTCAGGAATAAATGAATACCTGTCCTTTCCCCAGCTATTTCCATTACTTCACTAGGACTCCTTAAAGAGATTATGTTTATCTGTGTCACTTTACCCAGCTGCCATCTCCGCTTCTTCTCCAAGCAGATCTGAATTTCTCCTCTGCTTCCAAACACATTTGCTGATTTCTGCATTTCCTCTTTTCAGCCTTCTTCCCTTTATCCTCGACAGCTGCAGAACCCATCATATTCCTGCACAAGATCAGGCCTATCTGCTGTCCTTGCTTCCAAAAAAGTGTGCAATTATTCCTGATCCTGAAGGCTTAGACTCACAGGACAGACTGTTTGGATGAAGAACCATCACCTTTTACCATGTGACACAGAAATAACGGTGGTGGTTAAGGCAATTCAGCGTCAGAGCAGCTCAAGGCCCACAGAACCCTAAGCACAGCCAGCTGATGCCACGTTCTCACCACTGTCAACTGAGTCACAAATCCAGCAGGAACCAACAAACCACAGACACCCTGTAGCTTTCAGACATTCAAGTGGAAGTCATCTTTCATAAACCTTGCTGGTTTCAGCTGTCTATACACAAAGAAGACCACCTGTTTCATATTATTTCCAGTCCTAACCATTGGTCTCTTGCATTCATCAGCATCACCTTCAAATGTTTTTAATGCAGCCTTGCCTTGGAGTTCTCTAGCAGCTGAAGGATGCGAGACACTCCTGAGCCAGCTGCCAGAACTTCACGCTTCAGAGCAGCTCTCAGAGCTGGATTTCAGCTGGAGAGACTGAATGCAGATTGGAACAATCTCGACTGCATGGAAAATGCAGAAGACATGTCCCCACTCACTGCAGATTTGCTGTTCTATCACTTTCCAGGAGCAACTCATGACATTCTTTTAGAAATTACTACAGCCTGTACTTAAGTACTGCTTTTTGTTTGTTTGTTTCAAAGCCAGATAGACAAAAGATATGCAAGTGAAAATTTTACTAATTAATGACAGAATTTAACAACAGAATGACTAGGTTGGAAGAGACCTCCAAGATCATTGAGTCCAACCCACGCCCTAAGACCACAACTAGATCATGGCACTGAGTACCACACCATGCTTTTTCAGGCATTTTTTAGGCTTTTTTAGTCACCATCCATGGATGGTGACTCCACTATCTCTCAGTGGAGGGGCAGACCATTCCAGTACTTTATTATTCTGAAAAATTTTGAAAATTATTCTGACAATTAATGAAAAAACATACGTGGACTCTGCTTTCTCCTAAGAAAATACAGTCCCTTTATCTCCTTCCTCATTTATGTAATTTTAACAGGTAACTTTTCCTCTCATAGTTACATTTCAGTCCTGATACTGCAAAAAACTGCATTTTTAATTTAAAAAAAAAAAGAAGCTATCCAATACCTCTTTTCTCAAAAGAAAACGCTGCTCTCTAGTGGAAGATGACAATATGTTCTAATTCCATTTGAATTAGAAGGAATGTTATAAATTTTTCATTTTATCAGTTACAAGAAACATTGATTCATTTTCACAAGCACTGGAACACAAAAGTAGCAGGTTTGTTTTCTATGAGTCTTTCAGATTGGCCTGTGAGATTTTGGTATTTATTCTTCAAGATAAACTTGCTATGCATTTATGTCAGCACCATACTCCCATGCAAATAACTTGCCAAGTATTGGTGCATTAAAATATTAACATATCTTAGAATTTGGTCCCTTTTAGTTTTTGAGTTCTTAGACAATACTATAATAGGCAAATTTTTTCTTTTTTTTCTTCCAACATATTACCAACAGACTTTCCTAGGTCTGAATATAAAGCTTAGCCAACCATTTCAAAGATAGATTAGCTACCTGCACAGAATAACTTAGGCAAATATTCAAATACTGCAAATATGAAACTCTGTATCCTGTTTGCTATGGGTTTCTAAAGACATTCCTGTCTACAAGCACAGTGATACAAAATTGAGGAATTCCTGTTGAAGTGGTTCATAGCCCTCTCTACTAAATTTCTTCAAGTTAGGGACCAAAGCAGCAGTATTCTGGATTTACTTCCAACTTTCTGTAGTCATAACAGGAAATCTATATAGAAAGTGCAGCCCTTTTCTTCTCTCTCTGCAGATGAGACATGTGCAAAGCAGTTTCCTCATAAACACACCAACAAAGTATTTCATTTAATGAGAAGTTTGAATTTGTTTTAAAACAGATGGAAAAAAAAATGATGAGAAAGCAGGATATGGAAAATATTTGAAAACAATCTTATTTCTTGAAAATTTCCACTTAACTGATTTTAATTATCACACTAATTAGAAAACAGAAAAATGTGAAGAACAGTGTTTATTTAAAAAAAATTAAACCCAAGCTAAAGCTAAAAAAATTAATAAAAATGTTAATTCCAAAAATTCCATTTCTTGACTGTTAAAATTGACCCTTAAAAAAAACTGCTTATGAGTGAAATCCAACAGCTAATTTGTTTACTGACTGTACAGGGAGCTCAAACAATAATTACTAATTCAGAGTGCTCTTGTAAACAATCTATTTTTGGTTGAAACACTCATGAGGCTCAGAGCATGCTATGAGGACACTACATAGTGACTTTAAGCAATATAGGTTTTATATAACTTATTCATTTATGTTGTAAATACCTGAGATTTAAGCTCAATAACTCTCTGCTGTTACTAACTAAGCAAATAAAAGAAATGGAGGTTAGCTTATCCATGAATTAATTATGCAGAAATATAATAAATCCATAAATAAACACAAGGTTCACATATTCTTTACCTCTGCCTCTTTTTATTGTTATAATTAAGACAATGATAAAAGATGTAATTTTATTCTTAATTTTAAAACATACAAGAGTGAACCCAGCTTTTAAATAGGTAATTTTTCTAGATTTACAAAAAACCAAAACCAAACCAACCAAAAAAAAACCCCAAACTGAACAACCAAATAAAAAACCCAACCAACCAACAAAAGGAAAAGGAAAGACATGGTTATTTGTTCCAATACAAACTCCACCCATTTGGACCATGAGAAGAATCTTTATTCACAAAAATGTCAAACACTATCAGTAGGATTTCCCATGATAAAACATAGTACTTAACCACAGGAAAGGCTCATGGGCTTTCTCTCCATGAAGCCCCTACCCATGTTAAATGTGCATCTTGAAAAACAAATAGACAAATCAGTAAGTGGTAATCTCACTGAGATCACAAAGAAAACTTTAATTTATTCTGAAATTTCTATTGCTAAAACAGAGATAGCAAAATATATGTAGCTTTTACAGCAGATAATAAATGCACTAGATTCTCCACCTTCACCCTGCCAAAATCTAGGCATACATAAATCTTAGCATCACACTGAAAATACAAAATAATTTGAGAATAGCTGTGTTGAATTTGACATGAGATGTTGTCTGCATGGAGGATGAATTAAAAAACAGACACAGTGGCACCTTAAGACTTAAACCAATAGATTCATCTGAATGCAGCCTTACACTTTTGGTGGACATAAAGACAAACTGCAGCACAAACTTGTTCATCTTCAAATGCTAGAATACTCAGCAGCCTGCTTCTACTTCATGAGGGCACAACTGCAGCTTTTTTCTCTACTCCATTTCTCTCCAACCATGTCGTGAGCACACATCCAAACACTGCTAACTAAACACTGAGACACTTTCCCTCCACAGCACCACAGTAAATTGAAATGTACTACACTGAAATTATTTGAGATCTATATTCATTCTGGAAACTGCTTTAATGGACAACAGCTAAAGCTGCTACCAAATTATTTCATGGAATGCATAAAAACAGCATTCCCTTCAATTTCTACTTTATATAATAAAATAAAACTAGGTTGTTCAGATGATCCTGCTCAACTATAAAACCTCCCCAAAACTACAACTGCTGTCAGTTACGGATTCCAGCAGTTCAACAGTTGCTGTCATACAAAAAGCTATCTATAATTTGCAATATTCTTCTCAGAATTTAGCAGCATCCACAATGTACAGTTTCTTGTAGATATGGTCCCAAAACAGAATCCCAGGGAGGCAAATAATTTACTGGATAATAACTTGGGATAAAGAAAAACCAATTAAAACAACCAGAAGCCAAGAGCAAATATTTCAAACACTTTGAACAGCACTCCTGAATTCACTATGAATTAATCACAGGCTTAGTTCCAGCTTTCTGAAGTTCCTTTTCTTAACAGCTGCAGAGCTCTGCAGCTCCTGTTGAGAAGACATTTCCAAGAGCAGTCTGGGAAAACTCACAGAACTCTTGCAATTTTTCTTTAATTTAATTTTTTAATAAAATCTGAATACACGTGTAATAAATACTGAGTTAAAACCAGCTTCCATCCATTAACTGTAACAGAAAAAGTGAGAATTATCACACAAAATAGAAAATGTTATCAGGTGAAATCCACTGGAAATTTGTTTCCACTCTCTGGTGCACTCTCCTTTCAGGGTCTGTACTAACAACAGGTGGTGAACAATTGGGGGAATTCTTTTCATATTATTTCACCTACCAATTCGCTCCTATTAAAACACACAGAACTGATAATACACTCCTTTTAATTTAAATTACGTTTGCTTACTATTTCTTGTTTTGTTATCTTGTTTTATGTCCAAGTTCTATGTAACAATGGGAATATGAAATTCATTATGATCAAATATCAGAGGCCGCTTGGGAGGGGTTGAGTCTTTGTCCGCTTTGTGTAACAGTTTAAAAAGTCCTGTTCCAATATTCATTGGAATTCCCATGATGATGCACTCAGAAACACCTAGGAAAAAACCAAACAAACACGATGAACATTTGAACAGTAAGGATTTACAAAACTATTTTCATTTACCCATTCTGTTTTGTGTTGCCTACAAAATATTGAACTTCACATGTAAGGACCAAAGCCTGTTTAATAGACAAAGTTAAATGTTATGGCCATCCAACCAAACCTAAACATCTTCTCTAGTAATGAAAGCACTTGAGGTTTGTTTTTAGAGAAGACATGTTCTCTGCAGTGCCCATAGCATAGAAGATGCAAGGCAAACTTACTTCATGTTCATTCTCTGACTCAGTACTAAGGCTTCAGTCAAACCTGGCAGGGTTCCCTTGAAACCTCCCCAAGTTCCCAGTGAGAAAGGCACAGAACTACTTGAGCTGTAACACTCCTGGCATTTTCACCACTCAAAAAGTGCTCATTTTGAAGTGAAATATTGAGTCTCTCCCAATGAATTTTGATGGTTATAACATTTTCACTCCAATGTGCTGGCACTTTTGCACTCCAGATCTACCATGGTGAACAACTGTTCCAAAGAACATTCCACACAAATCAAGCTCTCAGATACCAGTATTTCTCAGCATACATTTTTGCACATTCTCAGGAGTATAACTAGATTGTCTTTCACATAAATGTTTAAGAAGGTAACAATAAATAGCTGTACCTTTGAAAGCACAAAGGACGAAGTCAATTTGCTTAAAATTCTTACTTGATTCACAATTTGAATGTGTACGAATGAAGATTCAGAAAATACTGTGCACAAAGTACTGTTTAAAACTGGCTACACTAAGGTCACCTTGACATACACACAAACTAGTTAACTTTAACATAACACATGCATATTTCTGTATTTCATTAGCACCCAGAAACTCCCAATGAGCAATTCCAGCTCCACGAGGGTAGCCATTGCATAAACAGATCTTGAAAAGGGTGAAACCTGCTTTACTTATTTTCTCCATTTAATCTATTAGATTTTTTAACAATTCAGTCCCAAAATATATGTAGCTTAAAAGAGAAGAAAATCTGAAATGAATGGGGCTAAAGGCACTAAAAAAAACCCCCAAAATTATTTCAATTCCAAATATTAGAGCACATGGCTAAAATACAAAATAAAGAGACAAACAGAATGCCAGGACTCATTTACTGAGCTTTCTGTTTGCTGTATGTATATGGACATGCATACACTTGTGCATATGTAGCCATGTATTTTTAAAATTTAACAGGTTCTTTCATGAACTCAGTAAGATGATTATGCTGCTAATGCACTTAAATTTAAAACTCAACAACAGATACACTTAAAAAGAAATTTATGACAATAGGTATCCTGTCTGCTGTTAACAAACTAAATATGGATAAACAAGGCTTCTAATTAAGACCCACAATTTTAATTTGTTTAGATTAGAACTAAATAAAGAAGTGAAAAACTTGACCTTTATTTCTAGGTACAAGTGCCAAGTGACCTAAGCAATCAGGTAAGAGTGTCATGTTGATAATCTTCAGCTAGGCTGAGATGTACCTGTCTTTCTACTTAGCAGGAATGAAAATGAAACCTGAATACTGAGTGAGGTACTACATCTATTCAACAGCTCTAAGTATTGAAAATACACAAACTTTCACAACTGAAAAAACAGAACTATTGATAGTGGGACAAATTTCCTAGCATTTCACTGAAATGTAAGGTGAGAAGTAAAATCAAATCACTCAAAGTCTACTTTAAGATACATCAAATATCCAACTGACTTCAAGACCTCAGTCAGAGATCAGAAGTAGAGCGTACAACAAATTTTTAGGATGAATTAGCTTCAGACCTGAAGTTTTTGACATACCAGCTGAACAGAAAGCTTAACAAAGACAAAACTCGAATGCTTTGAAGAGGTTTTACAGATGCTAGCTAAAGATCACAAAGTGAAACAGACTTTGCAATACCTACCACAAACAGAATCCTTCTGTCCAAAGTAGGCAGCATCAAAGAGATGGTCTGCAGTCTTTTCAAAAGAAGCCAGCATCAATACACTTTCCTTCATTTTCGCCAGCCCAAACCTGGTAATGCCCAGCACTTCACCCTTGATTGATGGAAAAACCCAAAGAGTAAGCCTGAGTAAATAAATATACTATTTACAATTCAGTATTGCCATAATACACATAATGCACATGATTCACAGATAAATATCTGGAAGGTTAATAGTTTGGTAATCATCATTATTTACATAACATATAAGTCATTATTCATATACAAGATAAGCTGATATAAATGGTTAATAGATCTCGAATATTGAATAGATCTTGAGTACTGAAAAAATTGAAAGAAGGATAGCCACAAACTACCACAATTATAACTGGCTGCTGAGCTACAAACTTCAGCATGATCTGAGAGCACTATGCTGAGTCTACTGCCTATTATCTACAGGTAAACTGACCTCATCTGCCAGGAGATTAGAAAAGATGCTAAATCTGCATTTTTTCACTCTCCAGAAAAAAAGGTAATTAGTTTTTTCTACTAATTTGACTTGTTTGTGCCTATGTTTGTTAGAAACATTCTGATTATACCAGATTGCACACTGAAGCCTAAGTCAAAAGTACAGGCAAAAGAATGCATGTAGGAGTTCACCAAGTTTGAATCATAGCACTCTGATGCCCTTTTCTACTGCTGTGCTGCAGCTTCACAGGGTCAGCCCTTGTTACTGGTGCAGCTCAGTACAACAAAGCTCTGCAGTTTTGGAACAAATCAGAACTCCATCCATTTCACCCAAATTAAACCCTTGCACTCTGGCAGGCAAATTGCAAAATCTTACTTCACTAAGTGCACTGAACTTTAAAGGACATCAATCAGTAAAGACCAGATATGATTTTGTATTAACACATTGTATAAGACTGTTCACATCATCTGATTATATTTGAAATGTCTGTATCCCTTGCCTCTCACACATGGTGCAGCTGTTACAAACCACTCCCCGTGGGGTTTTCTGCACAGCAAACCTTGAACTGCATGCATGGCTACCCAGACAGTTGTTTTTCACACCATCATTTTTAGGATTCCTATTTTCAGTATGAAATTATCATTCTCTACTCATTATATCAATTTGTTTTCAGTCAAAATAGATCCTCCTCCCCCAAAGAATTAGAGTAATTAAGCATTTTGCATAAAATACAGATAACAGTATTAGGTCAGTACAACTTTGAATTCTTTAAGCCCAGAATTAATTTCCATCTCCTGAGCTCACCCACCCTTCTCAAACATGATAAAATTAATTTTTATAAACCGGCTAATGTAACACTTAGAAAAAACATAGTACAAACCTTGTAAGTCATTAGATCAGACAATAACATAACGTGTCTCCTGTCAATGCTCATGCCATGGTTCACCATTGTATATTGAATCTCATTGATAATAGTAGTTCGAGCAGCTTCAATTCCCAGAGTTTTCTCCACCTACACAAGAGATTGTTACATGATTGTTGCATGTTAATGAATGAAGAACCAAGAGCTTGGAGCAAGTATATTCCTGGAATAAGTACTATCTGATAGCATATTGATATTCCATATCTTTGACTACCCTTTTAAAGTTCTCCATTTGAAAAATATTTATAGAAACAGCTTATTTGAAGTGAACAGTGCTGCCAGTGATTTATTCTCTTGTGTTAATTCATTCTGACACGTATTAGTGAAATCAGGCTTCATTCCATAACAACTGCTGCATCTGATCATAAACAAGCACTTGTATTAAAGATGCTATGGGGAAAATCGGGAAACCTCTGGTATGCCTTGCACTACAACCTTCACAAAACAAAAAACCCTAGTAACTTTGATGTATACAGTAACACAATATAAAAAGTTAACACCAGCATTTAAACCTATGCAGAAGGTCTAGTATGTAGAGTAAAGGCTCATTCAAAAGAGATATGAGTAAGACTTCCTGCTCTTAAATACACTAGTGCAAAACTAACACTGTACTATAAACCTTACTCACTATCTACATTTTACATTTTATGTCAGATATTCCCACACTCAGGTTGGGTGTCTGAATAGTGGCAGACCCATACAAATAAAAAGGTGAGCTGCTAACAAGAAAGATTCACTCATCTCTGTTTTTCAAGTCCAGAGTAGACAGTCTCCTCACAGAAAGCTGAAAAAATGACAGATACTGTCATGTGGTCCAATTCTAGGAGTAGCTGGAAGCAGATGTAACTATTTCATTCATACAACTGCTGCACTTGGAGTGCTTGTTGTAAGGGAAATATCAAAGCTTACATTTTATTTGCAAGTATTAGTACATGATGGGTTGGTTCCAACAGCAAGGCAATACCACTACAATCTAAGAGTTACTGACCCAGCCTGTCTTCACTATTAATACTGACAAGAATTTTTTCATCTTGCCACCATGGGACAAATTATTACTACTGATTACCTCCCACAAAAGCATGAAACAGCCTTTGCTTTTACCTTAGGTAGCTCTTCCTTGAGGGACTGCAATACATAATACATGGAACTCTTGCTATTTTCACGAGGGGTCACACACACAACTGCTTCTCCATGGACAGCAACATCCCCAGGCTTCACTCTGAGTTTAGAGATGCAAATCGAGTAGCGCACAGTCTCTGCATTCACCTGTGGCAAAAGGCAACCAGCAAACATCAGAGTGATTGCAGCAGATATCAATGTGTGCAAATAAATGCAGAAATCTTTCAACAGATTATAGAAGGAATAAGATAGTAAAAAAAAAATCCCCAAATACTTTCTTCTAAATTAGTCTTATAAATTGCATGAAATAGTATCCTATGCTGAGGGTAGCAGCCTGTACATTAACCAATGGATGGAAATGGCATCCCTGTGTTTAGCAAGACATAAATGTATTTTCTCTCATTTCCAAATAAAGGGGCAATTATCCACTTTGCCAGGAAAAAAAGAAGATGTAATGTAGCCAGACAACATCCATCCTTTACTTCCTTTTTTCTAGCTTCCCCTAGTGTGATTACTGACATAGGATTAAGAGACCCTTCGTAACATATCAAAAGTATAATCTGTGTAAGAACTGAACTCACCTCTAATCTCAGTAGTCTAATGCGCTCTAAAGACAGCTTCACTAGGATGAAACAGTCATCTGGAAGAAACACTTCCTCAATATATTCAGAAATCTTTAAGAGACAAGGACAAAACAGTTAGCATGCAAAAACGGCTAAAAGACCCCATAGCAATTGGCTAATGCTTATATTTAAAATATCAGCAATAATACAATTTTTTTTACCTCTCCTAACAAAGTTTTCTCAATTCTTCCTTTAACCAGACGGGCAAAATCAGGATCATCATCTTTGTCCAACTGTGCTGTTATAATAGGGGTGCTACAAGAATAAACACACACACAAAAACCCAGCTAAGAAATTGCTCAGTTGGAGTACAGATGGCAACTTGAATTACAGCCTGCCTCATGGAATTTTTCTCTTATCTAGAGCAGTATTTAGTAAGATAAAGAGATCTTCAGCTTCCTCAGGTATATATAAGAAAAATTACTTAGGTTCTTCAGGCTGGTAAAAACAAGCAAACACAAAAGTACTAGCAATTATTTCCATGGCATATATTATTCCAGTATTATTTAAGCATGGCTCCCATGCATTCCTAGAAATAGGTATGCTTCAAGTACTGCTAAGCACCAGAACCCTTCACAACAGATGAGACATCTAAGGAAATATCATACTTAATGAATAATCACTTTCCTTTATTTGCTTTTCTCTCTGGGCTTAAGTATCACAGTTGGGCAGACATCAGATTTTTCTTGTTTGAGTATTTGCACTGAATGATGCCTAGTACATTGCTGAGGACAGGGAAATGTTATCATGTATTGCAAATTTATCCATCAGGTTTAATTTGTGCAAAGGAAAAAAAAAACAACAAAAAAACCAAACAAATCAAAATAATGTTAGTACCTAATAGCCTTAGAAGCATTAATGATTTCTTTGATCCTTGGCACACCCAAAGTAATGTTCATTGAAGCAACACCAGCAAAATGGAAAGTCTTCAGAGTCATCTGTGTGCCAGGCTCACCAATACTCTGTGCACAGAGAGCTCCTACTGCAGAACCAGGCTCCATCTGTGCCCTGATAAAAATATAGAAAGAGATATGGAACTGAATAAGGTATAAGATCCTAAGCAAACAGTAACAAACTATTCTGGTAGATGTATGAGAAGCTTGTTAATACATTATTTCAGTAAACATACAAGAGAGAGGTTGAAAGGTCACCAATACTTTAAGGCTGATCTCATACAAAGCAAGAAGATGCCCTGTTATATAAGCATTCCACAGATGCAGTATAACTCCCATAACAAATTACAAAATGCTTTTCCTCTTCCTCCTAAGCATCAATCACTAGATCCAGGATTCTCCCTTCAGGGAAACCCCACATGCTAAATGTAAACAAGTACTCCTAATAAGGTAAAGCAAAAACCTGGTAATTGCTTTAAAATAGTAAAGAATCTAACACATTCATGAATTTTCTAGAAGAATAAAACATTAGGAAACAATTGATGCAGGTAGACCACAAAGGAGAGATCACTCATGGCTGCATGTGAATGTCCAAATCCGAGAAGTAAATGAAATAAATCTCAATGGATAAAGAGACTAGAACATCCACACTAGCATTATCCTGGTAAAAACCAAGCATAGCAAACAAAGGATCCTCTGAGAGCATAACGGATCAAAGAACATTTTAGAACAAAGAGCAATATAACTCCTCAGACTGTGTAGATAAGAATAGCTATCAAGACTCATATGAATTTGAAACTCATCTATTCAGGCTTTGCTCTGTATGGACTTATTGAAGGTTTTCAAAAACCTTCTGCAAGAGGGGGAGGAAGGAAACATGTCTGACAGTGGGTGTAAGATTGTGAAGTGTTTAAACAATATCCTCCCTTACTCTGAATCCTATCACTTTTGGCTTTTACCAGAATCTGCTGTCAAAACACAGTCTGTGGATACAAGTAATGAGCAGCTAAAGGCTGAAACTGTGCTTGTTGGTATGATTACTATTACTTCAGAAGGAAGGTGCTTAAACACAAGCAGATAGCTTTGCATGCTCAAGAAATATAAAATGAAACAAAGAATTTTTTTACAGTATAAAAGGATATCAAAGTCTGTTAATGAAAGGATCTGATTTTGATTCAAGATAAATGTAGGAACTCCACCTGTTAGACCTCTAGAACTTTTGTACAAGACTTACAAGACAACTCTGCCTTAACAAATACATCTGTAGACAGCGATTTTTTTTTTTTTAATCCTACCTTTGCCTTGCAATGTTTATGTCATTGGAGACAATTGTTTCTAAGTCTTTGTACTGCATTCACAACAGAACCAGCACTCATACAGTAAAAATAGCAAAATACACCCATAAGTCACCAGCAGAACAGCAGCACTGAGAACACTGCAGGGCAAACACTCACCTCATGTATTTGTCTCTACAAGTCTCTAGAAACTTCTCTAGTTGTGTTGGAGTAATCCTATCCAACTGATATAAAACTCTTGGCTGAAAAGAAAATGGAATAGTTGGAAAAACAACAACTTATATAGACTGAAAAGAAGTACATCATTACCCCATTGAAACTATTTACCTCTGTTGTGCCATTGTCATTAATTCCATACTTGTCCCTAGTTTTTTTAATCTTCTCAGAAACACCTTTGATGAATTTTTTAATTTCCTGAAATCACATTAAAACCACAGTAAGCAAAGACATTGCCTCCATTGGAAGTCGTCAACAGTAAATTATTTACTTAACCCTCCAAATATTTACAATAAATTAATAATGCACAATATGAAAAGAAGAACATAAAAATTTAGACAAGCACATACATTAGAATTTAGCAAACCAGATCAACTTTCATGTAGCCACAAATCAGTAGCAGTACATGAGGACTATGGTCCATGCTGAATAAAAAGCATCCTTCCTAAGCACACACTGACAGTTAAAGATACCTGACTTGATACCTGGGCTGATCCTTCCTTCCTACCCACCACTTACTGAAAGTGATTTAAAAAGCTTAAAAAAAACCAAACTCAAAATTCTTATTTTTTTGGCAATACTGACACAAATACATTCTTACTCATATCTCAGTATTCAAAATAGTTGAAATGGAAAGACTGTGGTGAGAGAGGAAGTATACAATGTATATCTGCTGGATAGATTTGAGGAGCACTTTATTTGTGAGAAAAAACCTCAAAACTATCATATACATGTCAGCCTTTACCTAATATAACTCAAATAACTTCTCTATTTTGTGGAGTGGTCCTGCAGATAATTGCATTTAACATATCATAGTACACAGACCTTTCACTATCTTACCAGGCTTACCCAAAATAAGTTCTAATGGTCTTTACTGGAACATAACAACACTGAAACAACACTGTTAAAAAATATCCAACATTTATTCTACAAAAGATCATTCAGTCATTCCACTTGGGATATAGACATCTATACATTTCATGACACAAGAAGTCATGAAATATGAGATCCGTGATTAAACTCCTCCACAAGCGTAGACTCAGTGCAAGTCATTACCATAACACAAAGTCATGAAAACCAAAATACAAACAAAAAGCAAAAGGAAGTCCTTCCCATCTATTTTAACCATGATTTAGGAAAACCTCCACTGAGAAACAAACACTTTGATTTTTCAGTGTCTTTTTAAACCCTTTCTACCCCATTACTTCTACTTAACAAACAGAGTGATGGTTACACAGTATCACCTCTTCTGCACTAGGTACCGGACTCCTTGCAACCACCACAGTCAGATGAGCACTGACAATTACTTGCAAAACTAAGTATCTGAGGGACTGTCTTTTTATTTTTCTTCACAGCCAAGTTCATAGAATCATTATGAAAACACTTCTGTTATATTCTAACAGAATTCCCACTCTCAAAATAACAACATTCTTACTGGCATTCAAGGTCTTTCCAAAGAGTACATTACTTTCGCTGAATACCAGAACTGAGTTCAAAAGGAAGAACAGACAACCAAAGTGCTGTTGGAATGGATGCTTCAAAGCTGCTTCCCCACTTGGATGACAGGATGAATACTTATGCTTTTGCCCCTTTCTTTTGCCCTGCAGTAAGTAGCATTATTCACAAATAATTGTATTTGGACATTTTTAAGGCTTTTGACCCCAAAATATTTGCAAAAATTGATAATGTGATTTATTTCCTAAAATAAGTGTTTAGGCAATAATATGGTATTAAAGAAGTTTATCTTTTTATTACAGGTGCATAAAAAAAGGAATGTTGCAGAACTTGAAGACTTTTCCTCTTTGACAGTGCTCGAGTTCCAAAGTCCTTTAAAAAAACATCCAAACAACTCCAGCACAATAAATCCATCATTATATGCAATTCTGAATAAAGTACTCAAATTAGATGTTATTTCCATACACCAGAGTCAGAAAAAGTGGAAGATAAATCTATGAAGACTTATATTTCATTGTCAAATTTTTATTCATGCAGAACACCTAAAAGAGGAAATTACTTATTCTTCTTGGATTTCTGGCATCTAAACTATGGATTAATTTTTTGCTACAAATGGAATGAAAATAGCTCATCTTTGCTGAGCCTATCTCTCTCTATGGATTTATAATCTTTAGTGCAACACTGTACTCTATGAGCACAGCTATTTAACTTCCAGAGTGGATTCAAAAAAACATTGATTTTTTTCACAGCTTCCAAATCCATGAAGTCTTTGTCTGGACCAGATGAACAAAAAGGCACCACAGGGGTTCAGTAAGATGTGGTTCAACACAGGCCATGTCAGCTCCTATGGAGCTGCTGTTTAGCCAAAAGAACAGTTCAGGGTGCAAACCTCGTGCTTGCAGGGCTTGCATCAGGTGTCCCAGCAGCCAGCTTAGTGGGACCATTTACACACCAGGAGCACTGCTCACATTGCAGTCCTTGCAGTGAAGAAGACACTGGAATGCACAGTGGCACAGACAATGCCATGAGATTCAGCCAAAAGCTGCTCCAGTTCGGGCAGATCCAGTAGGTCAGCTCTGAATATGGCAGCACTGACTGGCTCTGTGCTGAGCTTTTTCTGTGTTTGCACCACACTCCCAGCACTCCCAATTCCATCATTTCAAAAAAAAAAAAAGCACAGAAAAATGACTGATTTCTTTTAATTGTGAGGGCTTTTAAGAAAAAAATTCCTTTCACCTATACCTTAATATACTCAAATATGTTAAAATATTACTATAATTAACTGTGCCAGCCAATAGGCTGCTTTCTCATCAGCTGAATTTCCTCCAGCAAGGGCAGACTGCAGGAAGAAAGAATGCTGCCCATTTGGACAAGGCTATTTAGACATGTGTAAGCTATTTTACATATGTAGAACATACTATGTTCTGGACTGGATAAGCCCATTATAGGAACCTCCTACTAAAATAACAGCACTAAGAAGCATCTCTGTTCTGGAATGGAAAAGCAGAGGAAGGAAAGGTAAACACCAGAAAAACATGCTCATATCCCTAGAGACTGAAGGAATGACTTTTAGAAAGAAGTGTCAAGTACTGAAAGAAAGCTTCCTCAAAATCCTTGAATTTAGCAATGGGTATTAATTCATGTATCACAGTTTCCACATTAAGAAAGTTAAATAATTGTGATGAACACCTATGTCATAATTAAACAAGAAGTAATGTATATATGCTAATCAATTACTTTAGCACTATACACACATCTTTAGCTAAAAAGCACTAACATTAATGCTCACACAATGCACACACATGCTACAATTACCTCATTATATTTTTCATAACCTGTCTCAGTTAAAGCCTTCAAGGATGAACAGAAAAAAAAAAGGAAAGAAGAAAATGTAACTATCTAAAACTTAAAAATCTTAATCTAATTATCACTAAGGTGAGGTAGCCATATGTGTGTTTCTGAAATTAATAACATTTATTTAAACTTTCATGATATGACTTAGAAGATGCATACCTCAAATAACAGCTTTATCCCCAAACTCTGATATTAAATTAGTTGATTTCTTTTCCTTGCATTTAAGATTTACAGCATATTTCAAATATGGGTATAACTATTTTTTCAACTTGACTCTATCAATGGAAATGCAATTCAGGTTTACCTTGTACTCTGAAGAACTCTGATCTATTAAAAAGAAACCCTTCAAACACAGGTCATTAAATTCATCCTGTTCTCATCACTGCCAGTAATCAGAAGGTTCATAAAGATAACAGCTTTATATGGAGGTAAGGTTAATTCTACAGGCAGGTTAATTCTACAGTTTTGATCAGTGATTCTCAAGGAAATCTTGAGAGTGGCTGCTCTCATAAATATTAAAATTGCCCAATACTCTTTCAAACAAATTGAATTTTACAATTCAAAGTGCAAGCAGTCATGTGAACCTTCACTCACCCTTAAAACCCAAGTAGTCCCCAAGACAGGCTAAAGTCCTGTCCTTAATTCATAAGGAAAAGTTAATGACAGTGTGATAAGGAAGCAAGATAATTACCTGCAGAAAACTTTCTTGGCAGCAAAGAAATTCATTCTTCTTCATGATGGACTCAGATGTTAACACCAATTCATTTTTGCTAAGGGCTGGTTCACTTCGGCATGGATAGACAGCCTTCACAGGAAAAAACACGACTTCTTCACAGACAGCACATGCACAAAAACTCCATTGCAAAGACACAGAACACATATGTAGAACTGAATAACAGCATTCTTTATTTCTGGTTGTGTCTTTTCGTAGTTTGCTTAATGGAGACTATTTTTTGGTTGGTTTGGTTTACTATACTATAGTATATTAGACTATATTATACTATATTAGACTACTGTGTAAAGAAGAGCTGAAAATCTTAAGGTACACACCCAGACATTTCTAGTTCTACCCATTTGTTATACTCATATTACAGAAATCGAAACAGTTATCTCAGCAAAAGACTTTTCTCTGGGGGAAAGGGATCACAACACACCAACCAACCAGAAAACTAAAACTAAACAATACAGGTCTTCAAACATCACAATATTACTGAATAACCACCAGCCAGTTCAACTCAAGAACATCCACATCTCAATTTAATAGAAAATTAATCTATGCAGTGTACCAAACTAGTACTCAAGTAAGCCAGTAGCAATTTATCTAGTGAGTTAGATATTAGGCCCTAAAACTATGTTCAAGCACAGAAAGAAATTTTACTTTTCACAGCTTATACATGGTTTGGTTTCTGTACACAAACTGGAAAAAATATCTACTACTCTTAGAACACACATGCTGAAAGACTGACCAAGTCCATTCAAAAAGGCAGTTTGAAAATAAATACTGCCTGAAACAGTTTTCCCCATAATTTACTACTTTCTTCTCCATGCTTAACAGTATTTTCACACTTTCAAAAAGGATTTCAGTAATCCTTACCCTGATATTGTCTAGAACTCGCTTGAATTCCAGTGGTTCATCCTTCCCTTCCATAGCAGCAGGATCCAAGCCATCTCCTCCATAAATAAACTGTATAATGTCACCAGTAGAACTTCTTACTGTTAAATCATACTGTGAGCAAAGATCTTCAAGGGATTTCACCAGACGTCTCTGAAAGGAAAAAAAAATACAAGGAAAGTAAAACGGATCTTTTTAAAAATAACTGTTGATTTGCAATACAAGAAGTACAGGAACTAGACTCAGGAAATAAATCTGACAGTGATGAGCAGGCATGAAAACCTATTTAAAATCATGCATTACACCCCTCAGGATTTACTGTACATTGCATAGAACATGAAAGTCAACAAAATTTCACGCAACAATACAATACTCCACATTTAGAATTGCACTATATAGAAAACCTAATGCTAAGCTGCAAAAACCTATTGTAGTTCGAGGGATTTATTTGGGTGGGTTTTTCTGACATAACATTCATATTCTTCCAAGCAGATTTATTTCTCAAGGGATACAATACTCTTTGTATATGAAAGCAGAACTACTTGTTTTCACTGAGAAAAACCAAAGAGCTCACCTGCCAAAGCCATTTTTCTGTCTGGGTTATTTGCCTCTCCTACATTAACTCCTTATATTGGGAAGTCCCTGAACTATCATATTCCTTTGCATTCCCAAAAAGAAAGCATACTATGAAACATTTTAGGTTAAAAACATTTTTACTTGAAATATGGACTTCATTGTTCCTTGAAAGTAAATTAGATCACCTAAAGTAGACTATAAATTGGTATTTTTTTCTCAAGCATGAGAAAAAAGGTAAGATAAAATAAATGCCAAGATTTTTTTTTTAATTTCAAAGTCCAAGTGTTAAAATTCATTGATATTGGAAGAAAGTTGAAGAGGAAAAGTATTTTGCAGGTTGCTTATTATATTTATATACATCTGTAAATACTTGCACACATGCCAAGATTACTCCATTAGTTTTGGAGACAAATGGTCTAATTAGTCACCCACCCCAAAAGGTGGTTTTTTGTTGTCTTTGTACAGTTACTTGTGTATCTTGGAATGTGTTCCCAGCCCCAAATTATCTTGGCTTTTCTACTGACTGTTACATTGGGAAGCGGGCTATAATTTAAGTACTACTTAAATGTTGGAACAGAAATCTTGAGACTGCACATAACAGCAAGAAGCTTTGTTGGAGGGACATTTATTTACAGCCAGAGACACTAAAGTCTTACAGAACCACTTTAAGTCTATATGGTCAAGGTGCCTCCTACCAAGAGAGAACAGACATTGAAAGGGAGCTTTAGCTGTATTTCTGTAATCACTCCATCAGGTTTAGGAACACACTACACAGAAAGCAGTCCTCAACAGCTGCACAGAACAAGGACTTTTACAACCCATATCCAAGAGGAAATAGCTTAATACAAGCATGTTATTGTACCATTGGCTGAGGTCTCACAACTCCTCACCTCCTGAAGAACCATGACCAAGCCATGTATTTCACAGTATAAACTTTTCTGTTACATTGAAAACACACAATGTTTGCACTTCTCCCTGATCCATCACCTCGACATGCACATAAGAAATAGCCACATTTTCCAAGACTGATAAAACCTTCACTCTGCTGACAGTTACCTGCATATACCCAGTTTCAGCTGTTTTTACAGCTGTATCAACCAGACCTTCTCGACCAGCCATTGTGTGGAAAAAAAATTCAGTGGGAGTCAACCCAGAGTAGAAGCTGTTTGCAACAAAGCCTTTTGCTGCAGGGAGCTGCAGGGAAGAGTGGGAAAAACACAGTTTAAATGCAACAAACATTCTGTATGTTACAGAGAGACATGGTGCATGTCATCGAAATTCTATCCCAAGGTTAGCCAATACCCCCACCAACACAGGACAATGATCTCAGCTCTGCTTAGCTCTCAAGTTCCATATTTGTATTTTAGATCTGAATAAAGGTTTCAGAAACCCTTGCCTAGTTCTTCCAAACTAATTTAATAGTTTCTCCTTCCTCCTACAAACTTTGTCACACTTTGAGCTATTCCTTCCCCAACACTATACCAACATTCCATTAAACTTGAAAAAACTGAAAACACAAGTAGGAATGTTCATTTTGCTATGGTAGTTCAAAGGTATTTGCTGAAGACTAAGGAATCCAGGAAAAATATAACTGGGGATATGTATATAATTAATTTTTTGGAATGTTTTGCCCTCACTCACGAGGATAGTTCTTGGCCAGTGAAATTTATACAGGCATCTCTTTAAGTCAAAAATCACTTTTTGTTGTTATTTAACAAGTAATGCTTTCTAAATCAGAAAAAAAGCTAGAGCTAATTTTTTTTTCTTTTTATTTAATCCATTAAATATTGTTTCTTTTTCTACTTGTTCAGTATGTTACAGAACTCAGAAGCTGAATTTAGACATTTCATCACATATGCCAGTGTCATAGATACCATCTGACACTTAGCTAACACACTAGCTAGACTATGGGCTTATACCTAGAACCTTTGTAGTGTTCAGTAGATTTCAAATAGCACTTAAAAAGAAATTAATCTCACTGAATTCTATATATAAGTGCATGAGAGTCATTATTGCTTCATGTGGAACCAAACTGAGACATGAAACACTGAGAATAACCCTCTGTACCTATCCTGGTGGAAAAGGAGAAAAACCAGAAGGGTTTATCTGGCATGTCTCACCTATTTATAAAGACACCAACACACATTCAGCAGTTTTCCTGGAAAGTATTAGTGCAGTCAAATATAACACCAGCAAGAAACTTGAACAAATTATTTTTAGGAATCTCAAGAGAACCAAAAATGTATCATCACCTCACTTTAATTTTACTAAATTAGAAAGGTCAAAGCAAGGCTTAGCTGTAAAAAGTCAAGCTAACTAGATACCCTACAGCAATTCAGAACACTGTTGTTAGCTCTCAAATCACACAAAACACTTTATATTGACCATATATGATCCTTTTCCTTCAGCATGTCATGACAACACATTTTATCATGCTTTCTTCTCAAAACGGCTTAAGCAAACTTGGTTCACTTCCCTTCACAGTCCGTTGTAAACATCCAGAATTACCTTAGAATGCTTCTCAAAGTGAGGCAAGGACCTGTTCTCAAACCCATCAGGAACACGGGACCCACTGATAGCCTGCTGCCCCACACAAGCAATCATCTGGGATATGTTAATGAAGGAGCCTGAAAAACAAAGGAAAAGAAAGCCCCTCACTCACAAATGAGGGATATGCTGCTTCCTTTAACTTTTTTAAAATTTGGGTCAAAGACACTCATGCCATAATTTGGCTCCAGTCCTTATATTATCCTGGGGTGTATTACAGATTGTGTTTTACACAGTCCATGATCCTAATCTATGTATTTTGCTTCACAATTTCTTTAATAAACATACTTCCACCAATATTTTTCATATAGCTTTCAGTGTCTACCAGGACTCCTAGAACAAACTAAGTCCCAGAGAATGAAGTCACTAATTCAGAAGGTTTATTTGCTTAGTATGTTGGCAAGCAATGCCTCCCCATCACCCCCACAAAAATTATACACCTAATATATTCCTCATTTTAGATTTCAGTATTTCTTTAGAAGACATGTCACTTATAAGGCCTTCCACAATTTATTAGACAGCTAAAAAATGCAAAAGTGATTTCTTCAAATTCTTTAAGGAAATTAATGAAAACTCACTCAAGAATTTGAGGGACCATGTAGCACCTTCCAGTACCTAAAGAGGGGCTACATGAAAGACAGGGACTTTACACAAGGGGATGTAGTGATAGAACAGGGGGAATGACTTAAAATTGTCAGAGGGCAGGCTCAGATTAGACAACAGGAAGAAATTCTTTATTATGAGGGTGTTCAGACACTGTAACAGGTTGCTCAGAGAAGCTGTGCATGCCCCATCCTGGTGTGATAGAAGGCATCCCATCCCATGGCAGGGGGGTTGGAACTAGATGATCTTTAAAGTCTCTTGCAAATAATTCCACAATTCTAGGAAATGTTAGGTTCAATTCTGAATGTATCATTTACAGTTGATTTTTCTATGTGATATAAATACTTCACATAGAAACATAACTGAAAACTTTTTACTGACTAATTAGTTCAAGTCCTAAGAACATCTAAAGTTCCAACAAGATGTTTTGCAATTGTTACTAAAAATTAAATTAAGACCTGAGAATATCAGAACATCAGCTTGATTCTAACTAACTATACCCAAGCTGTACTTACTGAGCCACTTAAAGCAGCTATGACATGAACTTGCACAACTGACAGTATAGAACAAGCTATAAGGATGGAACAAGTAAGTTTCATATAAGTGAAGGAGTGAGCAACCTACATGCCAAGTTCAGCTGTCCCTACCTTTAGAACCACAGAGAGCCATGATCAGGGGACTGTTGCTCTTGTCCAGTTCTCTAAGACAGGCACTGCCAGCATGATCTCTGATAACAGATAGTTCCTTAAGGATTAAGGCCTGAAATACAGTATTTCAGAAGTTCAGAATTTGCTAAAAAACACTAACACAAAGACAGGGGGATCCAGGAACATGACAATCTCTAATCAGCATCAAAAACATCAGCTAAATTGAGCACTGCACTAAATGCTAAGTAACACTGTGCTACATGGAAGATAACCATGAAAATCTTGATCAATGCAATCAACTCCATTACAATTACCTGTGTAATTCTATTCTCTTCTATCACCCCATTCCACCCTGGAGGATTTCAGTTGTTCTGTGTTTAGCTAACATTTTTAGATGCACACAAACATCTTAAGTCTATACAGACTCAGCTCAAGTTACATGCCTAAGGACTGTATATGCTTGCATTTTTAAGTTTCAGAAGACAACTTTAGACTTTGCAATGTACAAGAATGTATTTGTGAAGCCTCTACTCCAAGTGGATAGTGAATTAAATTTAAAATTTTACCTCTAGTGTCTCTTCTGCAGTACAACCAGGCTGCTGCTGCAGCTTGCCAGTGTTCAGAGCTTCAATATACTCGTCACACTTCTTATAGCCAGCATTCAGGAGCTCATACTTAGCTTTTAGCAGGCCCTGCCCAGGGGTTACATCACCAATCCCAATTGAAAAGCCACGATTAGCTATTAGTAAAAAGAAAATAAATTATTTTGATAGCTCAATCTCATATAGAGAAAACAAACCCAGGAAATATTATTGGCAACTTTCAATTTTGCCTCCCATCATGTGACCATCACAAGCACTTCATACCCACAATAAATTCCCTGTCTATCAGCTTCAAAACAAGCTTATTTTTTTAAAAGCACAACATGTCGTATTCAAAGCAAAAATCTGGCTTGCTCTTTATTTCAGCATTAAAGTACTATTTTACAAGGAAATGTACTTACAAAGATAGACTGGAGCAAGTCTGGCCAGACGTGACATGGCATCCGCAGCTTCCACCTGGCCCCAGTCTCTCAGCAAGATGTAGAAGATGTTGTTCTTGGATCCTGAGCCCAGTGTTCCTTTGTCCATACTGCCGCTCATTAACTCGCTGTTTTGAATTGTGACATCTAGAAATGAAAAGGCAAAAAGAATCCACCAGTTTTCTAAAACATTCACTAAGCACTACTAATCATTTATGGAGAGAATTTTGAAATAAAAGCTTTGTCCATGCTCAATATTTTCAACGTGCATTTAGGTATCATCTTCTTGAAGCACAAATCCCTGCTCTATCACTTATATCGCATGAAAACATGATATTGGGTTTTCTTGAGACTAGTAAGAATTTGCAGAGAACTTTCTGAAGAGAATCACTATGCCTTCAGATATGATTTTTTTTCAGAGAACTGAACACAGCCAACAACAAAATCTCTAAGTTTTCCACATCATGTGCTCCTGTTAAACTCAGAAAAAGGAAACTCTTCCCATATTTTCTAAAATTAATAGACTGTGAAATAAAGATGTCTTACGTTCACAGGAGTGTGAGCAGGATTGCTTTGTGACCTTTTATCCTACAGTATTTAGAAGCTGAAAAATATTGTTCCACCATGTTTACAACCAACTTCATAGCACAGAGTGTTATTTTCATCTACAGAAATCACTCTTATCTGTAGAGAGGACTTGAGGGCCAACTAGGATATTCTTTCTCAAGGCAATATTGCATAACAGAATTAGTGTAAATCAATGGCTCCTCAACTTAAAACTTGTGAGCAGCAAGGAACCAGCCTAACTTTGCCTGTTCAAGTTCCTTTTCAACGGTCACCACATGAATGATCAATTAATTCTAAGCAAAGTCTTGCTCATCTCCTACAGCCTTTTCAACCACAGGGCTTTGCATTCCATCTGCCACTGATGTCCCTAACCGGAAGGACATGGATGGTTTGATATCCTAGGGATTCATCTTCTCTGCACATTCTAACTCTTTTCAGTGTTTGACTTGTAATTCCTGCATTACTATCCCCCATCAGTAGACTAAATTTTTCCGTTTGCCCTCTGAACAATCACTTCCCTAAGCTTTGCTTTCTTCTCTCTCACCTTCAAACACTAAGTTAGCATCATGACAAGCTGAGCATCATACAAAAGACATTTCAGTTTAAGAAAACATGTTTAGCATGACTTCAGCTCTCAAGAAAAATGGCAAGATTTTATTTTTCATTTCAAGAACACTTATGTCAAGTACTGCTTCAATGCCTACAGTGAGCTCAATAATTTCTATGACTTCTTTGAAGACTTCCAAAACATGGCTTTAGAAGTGTCACTTACAGGAATCATTGTAACACAGGTCCTCTCCTTTGCCACAATACTGCTTGCCCTTTGTTCTTAGGTTGGCTTTTACAGGACAATCATCACTGGGTTTGAGAATGAGGCTGAAAACCTGTTTTCCTGTCCAGAGCGTTACAGGCTGAGAGAAACAGAAGAATAAAGATTACAAGTTTACGCTACAGTTACAGAAAAAGAGCAAGCAATAATTGTAAAATTGCCTTATATACAGAACATGTCTGCAGAGATTCATACCTGTAGAAATGCATAGCAGCATTCCTTTGAAAAGTATTATCCACTTTCATAGATTTAAACCCCCTGAGTGCTGAATGGTTATCCTTCACAATTATTTCTTTATGAAGTACCTTTGATTTAAAACTTTAGGAGCTTAAAGTTTGATGTAATGTCGCACTATATTTGGAACAGCAAGAAGCACAACACAGACTCTCTTGTGAGTTGAACAGGAGAGCAAGGTTTATTACCCCAGATTTTCTTTTACAGACAAATACATGAAGGTCTGGAAAGGTAAAACCCTTATTGGTCAATGAACTAACACAACACCATCATTCGTCAGTGGGGTACACCACCCCTCCACCTTCTCTTGCAAGAAAACAAGAAACTGACAAACAACACCTGCAAGGCTGTCTTCTATCTCTAAGGATTATTTTGATTCCTCCTTATGATTTCCCAGGCCACTTTCTCAGGCTAGTCTGAGAAAGTTATGTGACTTGCTTTTCCACAGACACTGCTTGCATTTAGCATCCATAATGTAGCATCACCATGGGTCAAGATCACACAATAGAGAAAGTCTTAGTAACATGAAAAAAATAGTTTGACACACCTTCAGAATTGCTGGGGGTGGAAGACGAACTTTGATCTTTTCATCCTTGCCAACCAGGATAGAAGCAATAATTTGACAGGCTTTGGCTCGATCAAAAAAGGTGTCTTTCAGTGTTAGAAGATAGGCACCTGGAATGAAAAAAGTAGCATGACAGACTAAATTTAGATTCAATTTAAAAGCTATTGCATACTCAGTGTCAATTATTTCACTCTAATACTAATCAGCTACTTACTATACAAAACTACAATAGTTTAGAAAGCTTTAGTTGTAAATCCTTTCCAGAATATTTTTTAATTGCACCACACTAAATATCTAAAAACTAGGAACAGTCTATTTCTATAACTTATTCTCTTGCTCTCAGACTTGATTTCATAAGTGAAATAAAGCCTTGGCATTTGTTTTTGTATGTTTTCTTTCTTATGTTCATCACACATTTCCCAAAGAATTAAAGACATTGAAGGTACATACTGTAGGTCAAAGCTAATGTTTATTGACTGAAATCAACTTCTCTACCATAATCATAAACAGTTTACTTTGTCTACTGAACACAGACAAAGATTTCAAACACTCATTTGCAGAAAAACACAGCAAAATACACTCAAAGGTAATAATAACTGCAGCTACAAAGATAGAGAGCATCAGAAATTACTCTGAGAGCATCCTTGTATTTCAGGAAAAAAAGGGCCTTTTTAATTAATATTTATTTTTATTTAATAATTAATAGCTTTTAATTAATATAGAAAAATTCTGAAAAAGCAAAGTGATTCTGAAGGAACAACTGTTAGATCACACAGCTCTGAAATAAGCTCATACACACCTGTGAGGAAATCTTGAATAGCAGCAATAAGAGGCTCTCCATTTCTTGGTGTTACCAAGTTTGCTTTAGTCTGTGTGACACAAAAAGATATGCATTTGAAGACACTGATATTCCACTTGCTATTCAAAATGGAACCTACCATTTAAGAAATTTATTTTATGGTGAAATAAAGCTTATTCTAAATTGAACTACAGCTTTCTTCAAAAAGATAGAAAAAATAAGCCAGAAGTTTCAGTTCACTTCAGTCCATGCATATCTATTAACAGCTAAAGAATAGTTTGAGAAAAGTTACCAGAAATTACAATTTACATATTCTGTTTCCAAAGCAGAAGTGGCAAACAACTTGACATGTTTTGGTAGGACAGGGAACAAAGACAACTATAGGGATCTACTGGAAAACTAGAAGTTGTGTAGTCCCTTCTGATGGGTAACAATCAAGCTACCTTGGCCCCACGATCTTATGCTCTACTCAAACTACTGCTCCAGTTAATCACCCCCTCCTGTGGAGCGGTTTTGCCAGAACCCATTCCCACATAGACCTGAATCAAACACTGGGGGTGTTCTTTTTAAGCTCACAAGTCAGTTCAGTGAGCTCCTACAGGCTGCAGCCAACAACTGTATGGGCACTTCTGAAGCAGGAGTTACCTTTAAGTAACCCTAAAGGAGCAATGGATTGGTAAACCCTCACCTTGGTGCTACTAACTCACACCACAGATAAAGCTTGCAACCATCAGGTCCCTATTTATCTCCCCTCCCTTCTCCCTTTCTGACCCTGCCTTACGAGCCTATTCTCTCCTGCCATCTTTGGGAAGCTGCCTTCTCCAGTACAAGCCCAGGATTGCCACCTCATTTCCAGCTGGTCCATCTGCAATTCCCAGGCTGTCAGAGCAGAAAAAAATAGATGGATCTGCTGGTAACAGAGCCACCCTAGTCCGGTAGCAATCTCTAAGGACAGTCAGGCAGAAACCTACTGGTGCCATCTACTTACACTGCATTTTCCCTAGATGTTAAACCTCAGGCTATTAGATTACCAGGATGTAACAGTCCTAATTTATTCTGAAGTCCTTTTTGCAAAGTTATAAATTATCCACACTCAGTAATCTCGATAGTATTTCAGATTTCACAAGCAAGTTAAGAACTAAAGGGCTCAGCCCATTTGTGACCAGCAAAATCCCAATATGAGCATTTTATCTACCCACCCCCATTAAAACAAGTGCTTCTGCTTTTGCTTCTTCTGTCTGAGGAAGGTGAAGGTTCATCTCATCTCCATCAAAGTCTGCATTGTACGGTGTACAGACACATTCATTGAACCTGAATGTCCTATGTGGCTTTACTCTGGCCTGGAAGAGGAAAAAATAAATAAATTAATGCACACACAGTCAAGCATGACTAAAAAAAAGCCATGCCCAAGTCCTTCCCTGAAGACTTCCTTTTTATATTACAAATATGAGTCAAAATTCCTGATTATAGGATTTAACCGGGAACTGACAGAAATTGCACTCACATTTTTTTATAGAAATGCAGCTAATAATAATAATTTTCATTATGAAGAATTTATAAAAAGCCCAGAAGACAACATGCTTTGTAGAGATCACATCAACTCCACAAAAATGAAATGCTCACACAAGAGATAGCGAGGTCAATTATGGCTCTTGGCAGAAGTGTGCACACAGCATCCTGCCTGGGTACACATCAATTCCCACGCACAGGCACAACAGCACTGCATTCATCCTTGCTCCACACACAGTTTCAGCAGGAGCCGTTTATTTTTGCTTGTGTGAGACAGAAACACCATAGAGGTCAAGTGCCTAATATTCCAGGCTGTACTTCCAGTGCCAGCCTGTGTGCACTCACAATGTGAGCCATGATGCTCAGCTTGTGCAGAGAGGGCTGCCGGTTGAACAGGACAATGTCGCCATCTATCAGATGTCGCTCCACAATATCACCAAATTTCAGCTCCTGGGCCATCTTCTCTCGGTTCCCATATTTCAAAAATCTTCATGGGAACAAGTAATAATGCAGTCAGAAGATACACAGACAGTAGACAGAAAGACAACTAAAAATCCTTTCTGATTTTTATAATGCAAACTTTTCCATTAAATGCTGGAGTATTTGTATTACAATAACTAGAAGATGAAACTAGCGTGGACTGAACATCAATTGCTGCTATTTTAAGCAATTAATGTATTTTGACATTAGTCAACAAAGCTACAGTGATTAGAACATTAAGAAAAAAGTCCATTTGTAAATACACAGAATTTATTTCAATAGTATCAGAGCATAGGAAGTTTCACTCATGTATAACCCCTTCTCCCTACCCATAAACTGACTGCAGATTAGGTTCTACATAAAAACAGCCAGTACAACTTGCCCAAAACCATCTGTTTTCACTCACGTCTGTACTACACCCTCTCTTACAACTAAGATAGACTCAGTCATAAAAGAATATAAATCTAATTGCAATTCAACATCATTAGTATGTGCACTTTAGTTTAATTGCAAAAGACTACTTAAAAAAACTGTACACTATACATGAGAACAGAAGACAATTCTCTTTCTACTGCCCCTTATGAAAGATTCTGCAGATATAACTGCCTTCACATAGTAACAAGAACAAGTAGATGGGGAGAAATGAAAAGGGAATCATTACAGATAAGCATGATACCTTTTCATCTGGGTGTGCCTTTGCTGTATGAAGTTTGCTCCAGGATGAACATCAGGACCATTACAGACAAGTTTCCTCATAAAATTAATATTTGCTTTGTTCACCTGTTGCATAAAGACTTAAATCAGAAACAAATAGAACATGTTTCAGGATCTTGTTTTTACTGGTGGCGTTTGTGTTCTCAAATTTTAGGCTCAAGTGACAATCCTCCTACACAGCCTCTAGCTGCTGAGGGGAACTTGCAGGAAGGAACAGAGGAGGAGAATGTCAGCCTATCAAAATATCAGAGGGAAATTAAATTAAAAATCTGGGGGGGAAACTTAGAAATAAAAATACCCAACCACTCCTTCATACAAATCTATGAATGAGTTGAAAAAATATGAAGCAAAACTCTTAGTTCCAGAGATGTCACTCCTTATACCACATCCTGTCAGCACTTGCCTATATCCAACACTACAGATCTTTATTTGCCAGCAGCAACCGGCATAGCATCACTAAATGGCATTTCAAACACAATGTAATACATTCATTCCTTTTTAGAGTGAGTAAAGAAACAACACTGAGGTCTGACGTGGGGAAAAAAAAGGAATAGAAAAAGCTTTTGAGTTCTATGCTACTTACCTTTTCAGGAAATGTCAATATTTTAGCAACATGAATAGGCACTGCTACTTCATCTATTCTTAAGTTAGGATCAGGTGAAATGACTGTTCTGCCAGAAAAATCCACTCTCTTTCCAGACAGATTGCCTCTAAACCGACCTAACAAAACAAATCAGTTAAAACTCTTTCAATAAAAATAGTTTTTAGTGTTAATAGTGTTAAAACAGCACATTAGAACAATCTTTTAAGGTATAGCACTGAAGTGCAACACAATGGTAGCAGAGAGACACTTGGCAATAGCAAAGATTTGTGGTTAAATTACAAAAAAATAATTAAAGCAATTTTTTAGACAAACCTTGCTTTCCCTTAAGTCTCTGAACAAAACCTCTGGTCCACTTTTTAGGTGCCATGTTGAGGGGTATTCCAGAGAGCTCACTATTAATATACAGGGCACACTGCAGTTGAAGAAAATCCCAGTCCTCCATAATCATCTGTGTTTTGGCTCCTGATATCCTATGCTAAACAAAATAGTCATCCAATTCAGAAAATAAATATAACAACACATATCAAACTAGCCAAGAATTTTACTGTTATGAGTGCAACTCTACCTTTGTAAATAATATCATGAAACTTCCATTGATTGGAATGAAAAAGGGAAAATTACTTTGTAACTGGATGCATATTCCTATAGCATAAGGCACATCACAAGGGAACCCAGCAAAAAAAACCAAAAGACAAACCTTTTGACTAATATGGGCTTTGAACAAATGCTCGCAAAATCAGGTATTTATTTAAATTACATTTTTCCCAATACACTTAAGCTAATATAACTTGACAGGAAAAACAGTAGTTAATAATTTTTCAATCATCAAAGAGTTAGTACTCAATTCATTTTGTCTGCCTGGCAAAGGAACAGTTTTGAAAAGCGTGAAAAAGTATTTTCTGGTAGAAATATAAACAAATGATAAAATATCAAATCATCTTTTAGTATCAATTTGATGACTAAGCTAAATTAAACCTGATTTCTTAAGAACAGATGGTGGAATAAATAAAGCACAAAGGTGTAAATAAAAGAGGGAAGTCTACAAGACAAAAAATGATGTAATATTTTCATTGTGACTACTCAAAAGGTGTGACAGTCCTAGGAAGAGAAGAAAAAAAGAAAAATAAGAAAGAGTTAACAGACCAGAGCTGAAATGACAAACCATTTCCCGTAAGAATCCCAGCAGACCTTCAGCAGGTCCTACACCACAAGCAGCCAGTCAGCCAGCTCCATCTGAAGTGAGCTTCTCCTATATTTCAGTAAAATGTCCAATGACACAGAAATATGGCACCAGACTGCAAGCACTATGCCCCCTTGTTACATTCAATTCTACAGAAATCTTTCTGAAGTCAAGTCTCAGAGTGTGAAGGCTGACTCACCTTTTTTATTACGTCATTGAGGAAAATGATCTCTGTCAGCTTCATTGTCAAATCATCCTCATTGGTGCCAGACTTCAAATCGCTCACAACAGAGGGTCTGATGCACAGCGGAGGCACCAGGAGTCGTGTGAGGATCAGATCTGAAGGTTTACCTGCTTGTGGGTTCATCAGAAGTAGAGGGATGTCTTCCACTGGGATTCTTTTAAAGAGGTTCAATACTACCAAAGGATTCAAGTTTTCCTACAAAATCCATTGGGAAAATGGGGAGAAGAAGCCATCATGTCAAGTTGCAATGCTTCCCTCCTCCCCTTTACTGAAGTTCAGAAATACCCTTTTTCAGCAGCAAATAGAGAATTGTTCATGCAAACAAAACTATGTTTTGGTTTATTTATTCTGAACCAATGCTTTTGGCATTTCAAATGTTAACCTGCTATACATTCTTTTCCTCAATTTTTTCCTTATATATGTGTGTTTATTTCTTATCATGTTTTTCTCTTGCCTCAAGAGTTAATGGAGAGTATTTCATTATTAATAGACAAAGCAACTCAATTAACATCCTACAACAAACTTACAAAGTGCATTTTTTTGAAATGTAAAATGAAACAAAGTTTTCATTTTATTAGTAAAAAATCACTACTCTAGGAAGTATCAATACTCTAGGAAGTATTACAGTACTTCCTAGGTATTTTTCAAAACTTAATTTCTCTCGTCTTAGTATAGCTACTGCTGTATTCACTGTTTTTTCTATCCAAGTAGTACCTGGAGATCTTTCCAGCTTGCAAAGAACAGACAGAAAACTCCATACAATGAAAAACTAATGAAACAAAAAAGTTAGCAAATTAAGCTTCCTCTCTCCTTCTCAACATTAAGAACTTCTGAAGAAAAAAAAAATTGTGTATTGGAATAAATACCAGAGTTACAGTGAATCTATGTAGACATTCAAATTTTATATGGACCTGTGTTTCTTCTTCCTTGTCTAGTTTACTGAAGCATAACACACCAAGAACATCCCTTTCTTTACAAGCAGGTAATGGTGTATCAGAACATGGCAATATACTAATTTTCTAAAGTTATTGCATTGGATACAAACATTCTTCATGTATCTTCCAGCATACAAAATTCTTGGATCACCACATGACTTTAGCTGATACATTGCAAACGTTTAAGGAGTTTTATTTCATGCACAAAAACTAGCAAAAAATTTAGGTTATAACAAAATTCACCTGAGCTCTTCCCAGTAAGGGTTCTACTTCTTTGTTATATTCAATGGCAGTTTCGAAGGACTGGAGAAAAGTAGATACTATTGGATCTACGACTTTCTTATTTGTCTTGTACTTTTCATGTATTATTTTCAACAAGCCACACTTCTTCACAGTTCCTGCAAGGAATTAAATATTGATTATCTTGGGATTTTATTTCAAAACAACAAAAACACTGAACAAAACAAAAGACCACCAAACCCTAAGCAAGTTACAGTTTCAAAACAAGCTAAACCTTTAGTGAACACAAGAATAAAATAAAACTTTATCAGCTTTATTAACCAGTTTCCTAAACTCACAGACGAACAAAAGGACAATCAAGTTGTACTTTTTTATATTTTTATATGGATGGCTTGGTGTATCTACATGATGGTGCAGCTCCTGAGGCTGAAGGAAGGTGGTTTAGCCCACACGTTAATTCAGCTTCCCCTCATTCACAGCAGATATTTCTAAAGTAGAAGTTCCTACACTAAAAACAGGACTAAGGAGTGCCATTTGTGAATCATACCAGTATCTTCTGAAGTAATTTTGGAAGTTAATTATCAGAAAAATCTGATAAATATTTTCATGTCATGCAGGTAACATTATTCATGAAACTTCCATAGACTAGTCCAAATGCTCAATTTTTTTTACTGAAGTATTCTGACCCATCATGTAACTTTTCTAAATGCCTCCTATGTGTAGATAGGGCACTTATGATAAAGCAGCTCTCCTTTTGTTGAGTGGGTGACCATTTCAACAAAGAACCCACAATTTCCATGAGTTACTAGTGTTAAGTTATGGATTAATCATCTACTATAAATTTGCAATACTCCAAGTCCTTAAACAGCAGTAACTCATTATCTCTGTAGATGAAAAAACACCAAGACATATTTTGAAAACCAGATACAAATTCTTACAAAAATACTGAAAAAAAATGCCCTGAAGAAAGAATAATCTTAAGAAAGGTAATCTAATACGTTGAAAAATTATGCTCACTCAAAATTACAAATGCTATCAGTGCTTTTATGTGAACGTATTGATCACTGCCAATAGGTCACAATATTTTTAAAAACAGATTAAAAGGGTTTTTTTTTGTCATTATTCAAGTATCAAATATTGGTTACTACCATGAAACAAGCAACTAGGAAAATGTCTATATCCACACAATTGAGATGTGAACAGGTGTGTGTCTGGCCCTAAAAATGCAATTACCTGTTTCTTTAACAAAGGTCAGAGAGAATACCCATTAGCAGTACAATGAATGAGCATATTCAAGATTTGGATACTATCACAGCCATTAAGGTAAAAACCATCAGAGCAGATAACTTCACAAACTGCTCATGTCAATACTCACCATTAAAGGCCCCACAGTAAGGACAAGTGGTTTTTTTCCGGCACTTCTCAGACACTTTCTTTTTTAGCCCTCTCTTTTGAAGATATGTCAGGCCAGGTCGTTTTAGGTAATCTAAAAATTGCTTTTTTTCTTCCACTGACAGCATGATGTGGCAACAGGTTTTACAGATCATCTTAAATGTAAACATGTATAAACACAGTTGTTTGAGGGACACATTCAAAGATGCAACCTCTTGAACTATAGCTTAAGTTCTTCAAAACAGTGAATTTTTTTGAATGACATACATCATGATTGATTGAAAGACCAATTCACATATTAGAATACACACTAAAAAGCACATGAGAAAAAGAAAAATACAGTCAGTGAAGCAAATCTTTAGCTAAGCTCCACAGGGTTGTAAAAATTCAAATAGAGCAAACAGAGCTTTGACTTACTGGGGTGTTCTACAAGGGAAATTATCCTTTATATATTTAATTCAATTTAATTCAAACTGCATAAAAATTATAGATTAAATTTATTGGTCTGAAATTACATATGACATCACTAAAATTGGTCTTCAAATACATGTATTTTACAAAAGAAAATGTACATAAAGATAATTAGCCAAAATAAGGTTGCATTATTTTCTCAATTACTTTCAAGCATCACCTTTCCTTTTTTAGACTAGAAACTGACAACAAGTCACGATCATGTTTACCTGCAAGATGCCTATCACAGCTTTGAAGTACCCAACATGAAAACAAGGTAGTTCTAAGTCAATGTATCCATAATGCCCTAAACAATCAGCCAGACTTTTCCCACAGGTTTCACAGGGACGGTCTTTTTCACTGGTTCCCTTTGGGAGAAGGAAAACACACACATAGAGAAAAAAAGTCAGCTGTAATTGACGGGATAGATACAAAATACAACAGTTTATAAACTAGTTAGGAATGCTAGTAGCAGAGCCACTCCTTCTCCCCAGCATCAGAAGCATGTCAGTGGCATTACAGTCACTCTGACCCTTAAGGAAAATGGTTTTTACACACAACCCCTGCTCACACCAGTGACCTGGACTTACACAGCTCTTGCAACTGATCTACAGCCCATTAACCTACACTGTGGCATTTTGGTGACACATGTCTCTGCATGTCCCAGCAGTTTAGCAGAAAAATAACTTCCTGCTTCAAGAGAATGCATTCCTGCCCTCCAAAAGCATGAAAAAAGTAGCTGGCACTGTAGCTAATAGTTTATGAAATTCAAGTAAAGACTCATTTGAACTTACTTTGGACAAACAGTACGTTTCAGTGACCCCAACCTTTTTTTAACCACTCCAGCAACTCCCCAGAAAGAGTTTGGAAAACAAAAGAAAGGTTCTCACCATGCGATGGTCCAGCACTCCATACTGCAGTGGAGAGTGATGGTTGTCCTGACTATACAGATTTTTGCTGACCACTTGAATGTGAGCTTGCTGACGCATCTCTTCTGGAGATTTCATGCCAAAACAGATGTGGCTTCTAGGACAGGAAATTTCAGATGTATGTACAGGCATATATACAAGTATATATATATATATATATATGCAAAACCACTTATAATGACAAGTATACATGCAAGCATCACAGAACTACACAACCAATTAGGTTGAGAAAGACCTCGAACATCACAGAACCCAACCCATGACCGAACACCACCTTAGCACTGAATGCCACATCCAGCTTTTCTTTAAACAAGGGACAGTGACTCTACCACCTCCCTGGGCAGATCATTCAATGCCTAACCACCCTTTCTGTGAAGAAATTCTCCCTGATACCCAGCCTAAATTAAGTTGCACTTCCCTAGTGCAACTTAAGGCTATGCCTTATCACTGGCTTCCTGGGAGAAGAAACCAATTCCCAGCTGGCTACACTCCTTTCGGGTGGTTTTAGAGAGTGAGGTCTCCCCTGAGCCTATTTTCTCCAAGCTGAACATCCCAGCTTCCCCAGACGGTCCCCCTCCCCCCCGGGCTTGTGTCCTAGACCCTTCACCAGCTTCACTGCCCCTTCTCAGGACCACAAAGTACTCGAAAACAATGCAAAAGTGGCTAGAATGAGTCAGAACATTGTTGAAACAGGTTCTTGCAGATAACTATAAATCATAAAGCTGCTTTACGGTGAGCTGGTGGCTTTTATCTGAGGGATTTATCGACCTTCCTGGGTATCCCCACAGCTGGACACAGGCATAGCTATTCGTGTGGGACAACCCCTGTCCCAGCTCTCCTAAAAGCAGAGCAGCCGTGCCACGAGCTGCCCACCGCGGCCCTCCACGCCAACACTCTCCCAGCGCCGGCGGTTCTGCCCCGCCGCAATTCTGCTGCTCCCCGCCTCAGCCCGCGGGCACCGCAGGCCCCCACTCACATTTTCTTGGCCACATCCGTCTCCCTGAACTGCTCCTTCACCATCGCGGCGGCGGGGCCCGCGCGGCTGCCACGCGGAGCCTGGGCCGGGCCGGTGAGCGCNGCTCGCGGGACTATGGCGGACACCGAGCCCGGGCTTCTGCGGGCGGGCGTCCGTGCCCGCTGATAGCAGCGAGCTGCGGGGTGAGGGCCGCGCCGTGCGTTCGGCTGCACCGTGTCCCCGCTCGGTCAGAGCAGCGCCGGGCTCTGATCACTGTCACACCGGGGTGCAGCTCTGGGGCTGCTAGGGGGCTGCTGCGGGTCACCCCAACCTTTATCGCGGCAGCTTCTGGCTGAAAGCCCTGTGGAAGTAGCGGCGTGCAGGATTTTAGGAAAAACTTCCACATTGCATTAGGAAGAGCATGGCCAGCAGCTCGAGGGGGCTGAACGTTTTCAGCTCCAGAAAAGATGATAGAAAGACGACCTTACTTGTATCTGTCAGTATTTGAAGGGAGGTATCAGAGGATGGTGGCAGGCAATAGCACTCGAGGCAAGAGCAGAGGCTGATGCACAGGAAATGCTACCTGTACATAAGAAATAGCTTCTTTAATGTTTCAGTGCATGGTCACTCGTTCTATATCCTCACTTCCCTTTCACCCTCCCCTTTACCCCCAACCCGCTGCCGTGTCCTTATTCTGAGGTCAGGTACTAACACACCGAGTACCATGGTAAGTGTGTAATTTACTGGGAAGACTTAGAAAGCCTTTGTGGACCCACTGAGCTGTTTTTCCTTTCAACCAGGAGCATCCAGGAATCTTGGGTGCTCCCTTGTCCTTAGAGGGTGGGAGGCTGTAGAGGTGGTAACATTTAGTGCTTAGAAGGAAACTTCTGTTGCATTGTATTTGGACTTGAGATCCATGTCTTTTATTAAAAAAGCTGCTTCAGCTTTTCATGATAGTGAAGGTGTATATGTTGGAAACTGGGAATGAGTTTGTCAGTTTCTCACTGTATTACCTAAAGGTGTTTTCTGTAGTCCAGGACCAGCCCATTTAGGTTATGAACTCACTGTCAGTATCTGAGGCTCCTGGCTGTTGCTGTAGCTACTGTGCAATATTTATCCATGTATCAAGTTTTGGTTGCATTTGTAGCTATTGTTTAGTTTTATTTAATGTTTTTTCTTGCAGAATGACACAGTGACCATCAGAACCAGGAAGTTCATGACCAACAGACTTCTGCAGCGTAAGCAGATGGTAAAAGACAGCAGAAAATTGCCTTTATTTGTTTGGTGGTTCTGAGCTGGGAGAAGGTTTAGCTACTATAAATATGGTACCATTAAAATCTCCAAGGTTTTTAAATTAAGAATTGTAAGAATGTATGGGTTTAAGTGTTTTGGTGTATGCTCAAGGTAAATCTGCATGGTGAAGTTGTACCAGTTTGAGACTGGATTTTTGGGAAAATTTCTGCACCAAAAGCATTATTAAGCATTGCAGTAGGCTGCCCTAGGAAGTGGTTAAGTCATTCTTCCTGGAAGTATTCAAAATATATGGTTTAGTGCTATTGAAATACTAGACAGGATTTGATTTACTATTTGATTTAATAATTTTAAAGGTATTTTTCAGTCTAAATGACTCATTGAAGCAAGAAACTTTTGAATGGTTTTGTATGAAATGAATAGTCATTTCTGCTGCTGAAGTGGGTTAGTTTAAGCGTTGAGCTCATGGCGGGACTGTAGCACCTGGTGGGGCTTTGTACTGGATATTGACCTCTTATCAACTTGTTAAAATTCTTCTTTAGGTGATTGATGTTCTTCATCCTGGGAAGGCCACAGTCCCCAAAACAGAAATCAGGGAAAAGCTGGCAAAAATGTACAAGACAACCCCTGATGTAATTTTCGTCTTTGGCTTCAGAACTCACTTTGGTGGTGGCAAGACAACTGGTTTTGGCATGATCTATGATTCCCTGGACTATGCAAAGAAAAATGAACCAAAGCACAGGCTTGCCAGGGTATGTTGTTTTCTGGTATCTTGAAAGCAGGATAGGTTGGAAGTGTTCAGTTACTCAGGATTTGCATCTGTAAAAACTCAAGTTTTGTGAAAGTACAGTTGTATGAGAGCTCCTAAAATAGCATATGTTAACTTCTGCATTTGCAAAATAGGCTAAGTGTGTTTTTATTCTATATTACAAGGGAATTGGGAAGGCAAAACTGATAATACCAGAGGTGTTTAACAGTAACTTTTAACAAAACACTGATAGATGTCTAGAATAAGCATAAGAAATGGGGCTAATCCATGTGCTACTTCAATGTTTATGTTCTATGTTGAATCATTCATTAGTTAATGATCTTGCTTTTTAGTTAATATTTCAAATCGAAACTGTATTTGAACGTTTCAGAAAGCACAGAACTTAAATTCAAGAGTTGTTAGCAGAGGAAACAATGTTAAAAGCAACTTTCAACTGTTTTTAATAGCACGGCTTGTATGAAAAGAAAAAGACTTCCAGGAAGCAGCGAAAAGAGCGTAAGAACAGAATGAAGAAAGTCAGGGGCACAGCCAAGGCAAATGTTGGTGCTGGCAAGAAGGTAGGATGAGAATATCTTTTAAGCTAGAATGAGCATATGCCTTTGAAATGTTGATTAGGAATTCTTCATCAGAATAATGTTGTTTTTCTTCCATTTTTTTTCCTGTTCTACTGGATAACAGAAGGTAAACTGTGTGTTGTATAACTTGTCATCAGCTCAGTAGCTTAGTTTTGCTCCTCTCTGCTGCCAGCCTAGCTGATATGACATGAAACAATGCTTCCTAAATTACTGTTTCCTATGTGTCACTTGAACTAAAGTTAAATTCCGTAAATCTAACAGTATTGCTCTAATCACATAACGCAGTCTCGCAGTACACACAGTAGATAATCTTAACGCTTGTCACTCAGGCTGCCTAAACCCCTAATGCTTACTCCACCAAATTACTGTTGGTACACTGTTACTTGCCCAGGTAAGTTTGTTAAGGGTGTGTGGTGTAGGCAGTGAGGACAGGGTGTAAGTAGAAATAAGGTAGAATGCCTTGGGGTTTGAGGGACTGATGCCCAAGGTAGTGGAGTCCTTCTGTGGTGAGGCTAGTCTAATGCAGCCCTCCTGGGCTGTAGCTAGGACTTGATATAAGCAGGTTAGAGGGAGGCAGATTTCCTCTATCATGAAACAGAACCAAAGCTGAGGAATAGGTTGGGTAGGAAGCCAGACACTTTTTTTCACAGTATTCAGTCTTGTGATAAATATTGAATAAGCTGTGCAGGCAAGTGTTTTGGTGGTTTATTTTTTTTTTTTCTGGTGTTTTAGCAAGGGGAGAGAGAGTAATGGGTTTTGATGCTTATTTCTGTAGCTGTGAAAATACCTTGATATCTTGAACTTTAGTAATCTTCACTTTTGCTTTTTTTCCTACTTTCTTGGAACTCTCCATCAGAAATGAAGTATCTGCAGGTACTGGAAATGAGCATGGATTTGGTGCCTGAATTATTCATCACTGAAATGGGTCTTTTGTTTTAATTGAAGCACTGTACTGCCTTGAATGCATGTTTGATTTAAACTTAGATCTGTCATGTGAGGGTTCACTTAATTACATAATGAATTTCAGTTGTGTGACTTGGAAGTAAAATTTGGCTAGTAGCAAACCAGACTTTTTGAAACAAGTGAATCAACTTTACAATAATGGTCAGTGAGAAGAAATCCAAGAAACCCGATGTTGTTGACTTACGGCATTGGTTCAGTCACTGCAGGATCTGATTCAAAGTAGTACAGTGCAATTGCATGTGTAACTTGACCACTGTGTGAAAGTAGTGGTGTATATGAAAGCTAAGTCACGTCAAACTTGGTGCATTTGAGATGGTGCCTGGAAATGGCACAGTTGTCAGCATTAAACTGTATTTAATTATTGCCCTGCAGTATTCCAAGACACAAATTATAGTGGAATTGGAAATCTCAGTGAAACTCAATATTGCAGTTGGTATGGAAGTGAAGTTCCTGTTATCCCTGGGTGGAAAGGAACCAGTGTTACTGACAGTTACTAGAGCAGGGAACTGCTCTACTAGAAAACATTAGAAAACAATCTAGCACACTTCCTTTGTGCTTTAATGTGGTTTTAATAATGAAATCCTACAATGATTTATGGCACAAAATTAGCATTTGGTATAGTAGAGACAACTAATGTACACTCTTCAGTCAGTGGCAGAGTCATTTTGTGTTGCACCAATCCCTGTAGTTTGGAGGAACTTCTTCCTTTTAAGACTTCTTTAAGGTAGCTGTTTGTTAATGAAAAGTGATCAAATGACTCACTTGAATTATTAATGATGTCCAGTTCATAGAAGCTCTCGTAGAGCATATCAACAGTTCAGAAATGGAAGGCAAGGATCATGCCCTGTGGTAATTATGTATGAGACGTCTGTTAAACTTTGTCTTGTCACTTAAGATAAATTTTTTTGTGCACTACCTGAACAACTTGAGAAGAATTCTATGCTGCATTATAGAAAAACCTTTGTGAAATTCACTAAGCTTTGTCTTCAGAAATCCATGTTCAAAGATCATGATGTGGTATGGTTCATCATCCTTATCACACAGTTTTGTGGAGGAATTTTTAGTAGGAGCTCTGGAATACGTTTTTGAGTCCACCTACAGAATCTGTGAGAATTATTTTGTCTTGTAAATGAGTCAATACTTGATTCTGAGGAATGTTCAGGCAAGTGTATGTTGTTCTGAAAGTTACATGTGATGTAGTTATGAAAAACTCAGACATAACTATGCTGATGTCTTATTTTCTTTGATGCTTCCTTTCACTTCTCACTCCATTAGAATTCCCATTCTTTTCCCTGCAGTTTCAAGAGAAGTATTCTAAAATATTTTGTGTTATTTAATATATTCTTTGGCTCTAGAGCTTGCTTAGCATGCTAAAATTTGAAACAAGTATATGTGGATGTGCCTCACCTGGTCTTTGCATGCAAAACAGTGATACTGAAATGCAGAAAAAGCCCCACCCTCCTTTTTAATGTCACAGCTGTAGCTGTGAGAGCCTTTGACAGGTGAGGCTGTCAAAACAGAAGTGTGGAAGGATAAGCACATTGTAGCCTGTAGGTATAATTGAACAGGCCTTGCATTCTGAGCATTAGTTAAGCTCTAAATAGCTGTTGAGTTTAAGGGAGTAAGTGAAATCTAAGTTTTCAATCTCTTCAGTAGTCAAAACTTTGAGGGTTTCTTACTACATTTCAGTGTGGTTAATTGAGAAAAACAAGTTGTAGTGTCAGTAAAAACCCTCAAAGTTCAATTTTCTACAGTAGTAGAATTTAGATAAAATTCTTACTAATTGATGCTTTCTCTTTTTCAGTAAATGAACATTGTTTGGGTGGAAAACGGATAACAGGTATGTCTTCAGAATGCTTTGTAAGGGCTGGCATTCAGGAGTGCTGTCATTATGATAACAAATCTGAGGTTGATTTATGCAGAGACTCAAGTGCAGACAATAGAACCCAGTGCAAGAGTTGAGGCTAAGAATATTTACAAATCACTTTTGCACTTACTACTGAGTTGGTAGCTTATGTGACTTCGACTTGCATGAAATACCTGATTAGTATTAAGACTGAAATAATACATCAGGTACTTAACATTTACTGTTATTGAAGTTGCTGATTGTTTAGTCTTACTGTAAACCAAGCTTATATTTTTCATTTATAGGTATGCTAAAGAGAGGATAGACATTTGAGTTTTATTGTCCAAAATAGATTAAAGTAGCATGAGACCTATTTTTTGAACAGACATATGTTGTTTTTTTTACAGGTACTTATTTCAAGTAAAATATAAACAAACAAACAGGATACTCTTACAGACAAGTCAGACTACATTTTTATATCTTTCCTGCAGAAACCTAAGTGCTGTGGTCTATAACTGCTCCAGAAAAAACTGGTTTTATTACAAATGATCTGAGTGACTCAGTTGGAAGGAACTTAACCAGTCTGTCTGGGAGCTGATATAGTGAGTGTGATGTCTTAAACAGAAAGCTGTCAAAGCAGTTGTAGCTTGTTGATCTCTTCTACAGAATTGCTATAATTTAAGCTCATTTATTGCCATGGCAATGCTGGGAAATTTTGAACTTTATGCTCTTACAAGAAGAGCAGTTTGGTTCACCTGACTTGTTTGGGAAACAGTTTTTCAGGCTTTATAAAAGTACAAGTGTAAGAATTGTTTCAATTGTGTGTTAGTGATCTATTTTTTCCTTTACAGGCAGCATCATTCTATGGAGAAGTGTAGAATGAATTACTCTGGAAAGCAGAAGCTGCTCATCTGACATCGAATAACAACATCTGTCATTTGATTTAACATCAAATAAACTCTGTCAATAAAATACTGGTTTGCCTTTTAATTTTGATTCAGAAGCTAACATTTTGTAAAGTTTCAGAAATTCAGTATAGGTGTACTGTTTGCACTGGATTAAAATCTTTTCATAATTAAACAAATCTTGTTTTGAGTATCAGTTTGAAGTGAACCACTCCTTCCTACACATGGTAGTAGGAGCCAGTTCAAAGCAGGCAGTGTTGGAGCTAAACATGCTTTTGGTCAAACTGTGGTTTGCAGAGTCCTTTTGTTTGGCTGCCTGTTTTATATAGACCTGTAGAACACAGTGGAAAGGAGAACAAAACATGCAGACAGAGACACTTAGAGCTGCCTGCTTCCACAGTTAAGATTTTTACTAATGAAGGCATTAGGAATGATTTGTCTTTGGTTCCTGAGTTGTCAGGACAGGCTCTGGGGTCTGTCACTGGCCTGCAATCTATGTGGCACATCTCTAATTTTTCATCTGGTAGTGTTAAAGGAGCCATTTAAGAGAAGTGTGGGCAGTCTGTTGCAGGTGTTTTGAGGAGTATGGAAAGCAGAAATTCTTTGCTTTAAACAGGAATAAAACAGACTGGTCAGCTCTAACAACTGTGTTAAATAAGGCTCTGATTTTTTTACCTAAATGCACTATTTTTGAGTTGCATTACCTTTGTACTGGGCGGCACATTGTAACAGGTAAAGCACCTCTAGTGTTTGAGGGAGAAAACCAGCCCTACTGCAGCTAAGAGTTGTTAAAGGGTTCAAAAGGGACATTTTACAAGATCTGCTAAGTATAGATGAAGCACTTAATGCCTCTTGTAGTACCTTCAGTTTGAGTCTTGAACTGTCTGTGTTCAGCAGCGTCACACTGTTAGCTGTGCAGCTCATAGCTGTGGTAAACCCCATATGGAATGTTCAGCACAAAAGGAGAGAGGAGTGATGCTATTTAGTGTAATTGAACAATCACTAGGGGGTGGTGTGAACACAGCAATGCAAATACAAGGAAGACATGTGGCAATTTTTCATAGAATAGGCTGAAAGGAGGCCAAATTGTCCCCTGCCAAAGAGGTCAATTTCTTTGAAAACATGCATTTAAAATAGTTGTGTGAAGAAGCTGAGACTTGAAGTAATATGCTTGTTTCACTCTTGGTTTGAATTCAATGGAAACCATCTGTTTCAGTGAAGACCATAGAGTTAGTGTTTTCCAAATGTTTACTGCTTGGAGGCTGTAGAGTGCTGGCACAAATTCTAGTTGCTCTTTTCAGAAGCCTTACCTTAGTTCTATGCAATCAAGAAAGGACCTAAAACAGGTGCTTGCATAAAGGTATGTGGTATAAAGTGCCTTGTGTAGGATTAATGTTTTGAGTTTCCACAGTAAACAGCTTTGTTCCAGGGGGGTCTGCCTCTAGAAGAAATTATTTGGAGTACTGAAGGTTAGCTTCTTCACCTTTGTAATGTCTTACATTTTATTTGATACAAATTTGTGTATGTGGGTAGTACAGTAACTGCAAAGCAGATGGATTGAAACAGTCACAGCTTGGTGCTGTATTTTGGTATTTAATGCCCCATTTTGATTGAAGATTGACAGCAAAAACGTAGTAAATCCAATGAACAGCTGACTCTTGTTGCATGGTTGGGTTATAACCTCATATCTATAAGTTGTCCTCTGGTCTTGCAATGTGAGGCAATAAGCCCTAAAATTAGGGAAGGGGTCAAAATGATACAGAATTAACTGATCAAATCACATCAGACTGCTGGAGTTTTTCTCCCCTATTCTGCAGCACTCTGTGTTGACAAGGCTGTCCTTTTCTCCTATCATTCTACCTGGAAAATGTCAACCAACCAAAGAGCTGTCACAGGAATCTTAGTGCTTCAGCAGCTGGGAGTTGTACACAGCTCTTCATGTAAGGTTTGCTCTGCCAATGTTTTGCCTCTGCACTCCCGTCTCAGCAAGGTGTAGCAGGTGTTCTGTAATTCATTTTAAAGCATGCGTTGTGCTGCAAACACTAGGTTAATCCCCTTTCCTGTGGGAGGTAAAACAATTAAGTGCAGCAAGAATCTTCACTTTTTTCCCTTCTGTGTGCTGAAGGAACCTTTTTATTTCCTGCTGATCTTGGCACATCCCATAGAGGTAGTGCCAAACTAGAGGTAGTTTTGTCACTGTTACCTATTTGGCCTGGCCCTCATATTTCAGTGTCTTAAAAATTTTATCTATTTAACAAGTCTGGAATCCAGATTAGAAGATGAAGGAATTTTGGAGAACAACTTCTAAATTAATCTGGTGGTGAGCAATCTCAAATTTATGTATGTGGAAAGTCTTGTATTAATCACCATTTATAATGGCTAGGGCCTATTGGAGTTGCCCACACAGAAAATGTCAGTGTTTTCCTGTAGGAAGGACTCAAAGTTGTATAGCAGCCCAGGAAGAGGAGTGATGCAGAGTCTGGTGGGAGGAGCACAGGTTACTGTCCTGGCTGAACAGAAAAAGAGAGCTTTGATAAAGATGAAAGACAGCAAAATTTGGCACCACCTGAGTGCAATGAGGTGGTTTTGTCTAGGGCCCAGCTTGTAACAAGTTTGAGAACAAATATTGGGGGGAAGAAATGAAGCTAATACCATCAGTGGCTTGAAATAAATGAGGCATAGTATGCTTTGAGAGGACTGCAGTAGCAACAGTCAGCAGAATGGGCAATGTGAGTTCTCTCTATTGAGAGAAGATGTGTCATTTAAGGACTGAAGTATGTAGGTCACTATAAAATCTGCTTGCAGCAGGCAAAATAAATTAACTTGTTCATATTATTCTGGTCAGTTCCTATAAAAAAAAAGAGTTTCAATGTTGTTGTTTCTTACACATAATGTTGTCCAGTAGCAGCTGTTGATGATACTAGATTCATACAATGAGTTTGAAACTCCTTTTGTGAATGCTTCCTGCTCCTGTGCTTCTATTTGAGCAAAATGAGATCTAGTAAACCATTTTTTTTTGGATGAGTATTTTGGTACTGGTAAGAGAAAGATAAGAGTAGTTAATTATTTTTTTCTATGAACGCTGGCAAAATTTCACCTGAGCAGGTGAATTTTCCAATATAGGTGGCAAAAGTTTCTTTTGTTCATCAATGTCCCTAACAGAATAGCAATAGGATTAAATTATTCCTATGAACATGTTTGTGGTAATGCATCGAAGATGTAAAAGGGAAAGATTTAAGTGAACTTTTTACAAATCAGTGAGAGGAGCAGGCACATCCAAGTACATTCATGTCTTTGGACACCTTCATTATAAAGGGATTAAACAGAAAATTTGGTTTGTTGCTAACATTTTTGAATTCTAGTTACATCTTAAAAACATGTGGAATTTTGTCCACATCTCAAATTCCTTAAGTTTCTTCTTAATTTTTTCCTCCCTGTAAAGGCCGTGGCTAATGAAAGAGCTGCAGAAGTGGCTGAAAGGCATCCTGTGTGCTAGAAGGTAACTGTGATTTCCAAGAGCTGGCCATTGGCAGCCAGTACTTCTGACAAAGCTCCATCTCCTTTCTGTGGCTGCTGTTTGTACAGGGAGAGCTGAGGTAAAGGCAGGTAATGTGCTGGGGCAGAGGATTCAGAGCACCTGTGCCTTCTCTTAACACAGTAGATGTTGCAGCAAAAGTGATGAGTGCAGTGCTTCATTGGGGTGGATGATAGCAGTTTGTACTTGTGTTCATTGGGTTAAAATACAGCTGTTATTTAATGAAGCTGGCCAGGCTGCACACTGACCCCCATTAGGAGAAACATGCTTCGCTGCCTTTCATGATGATCTGATTTGATTGTACTGGAGCTGCTGCCCTGCTATCATTTTCTGTCAATTTTTGCTAGCCTGTTTGTTAAGCCAGGCATCATTTGTGTTGATTTGATAACAGGTTTCAATCACCAATAATAAAACTTTTCTGTGACAGATGACCTCAGATCCATATCTCCTGCACAGTGTTGGCTGTAAGTAGAAAATTGGGACTGACACTTGGCTTTTTCAATGTTTTTTGTCTTGTTTAATGTCCAATGTAAAAAAACCAATCAAAACAGCTTAATATTTTTAAATAAAAAGAGTGGAAGCAGTTTATTTTGAAAATGTTGAAATGTTTTTTGAAACATTTGAAAGCATTTTGAAATGTTGGTCAGTAGTTCTTGCATAGCTTGTTTCCCTGTTGTCTTCATAGTGTGATGTATCCTGCCACAGCCAAGAGGTGAAATTAAGCTTTTTTTTTTTTTAATTTTTTTTGTTAGGCAAATGATAGGGTACTAGAAAATACAAGAACTGAGAGATTTCATGTTTTAAGTACTTGTTTTAATTGATCAGTTCTGGTTGTTGTAGAGAGGTTGATTTAGGCCCTACATCAGGGCTTTAGAAAAGGAAAGAATAATGTAAGGAGAACCTAGGACTGGGAGAAACTGCCTCCTATTCACACACTAATATTTTACTTATATGTTTTTTGAGCAGTTAATTAAACTGAAAATTTATTATTCCCAGCAATGAACTGCATACTGCTTGTAAAAACAAACACAGAAGGGCTGTACTCATGCATAAACAACAGAAAACAGGGTGAAATTGAATTGTCCAGAGTCAAAAAAATGCTGAAAAATAAACATCTGTCATTAAACAGTAAGTGCAGTATGCATATTTTATTTTTTCATTGTCATTAAACATGAAAATCTTCATGTGTGTTGATGTCTGTTAGTTGCCTTTTGTGCTTCTGACTTGGGCTTTTGAAAAAAAATAAATCTCCCCTCAGCATGGTGAATGATTGCTCTAAAATCCTTTATTTTGGTTCAACAATGTTTTGGCTCCTGGCAATTCTTTGTTGGTATGGAGTGTCTGATGACCTGGGTGAAAACCTCAGTGTAGGACTAAAAAATGCTTTTACAGAAGCTTTAACATGGTGTGCTGCACAGACAGACCTTGGGGAGCCTCCTTAGCAAAACCTGTCCTGCTGAAGACAGGTGAGGCGCTCCTGCAGTCCTGGCAGGATGTCATTGGACAACCTTACAATTCCCTGGACAGTGCCCTT